TAATATAGTAATTTCTATTGCTCTATATAATTATTTTAACGTAAAATTTCACTCTTTTTCTAACAAAACCACATCGCATTCTGCATCCCCAGTTGGCTGTGGCACAAATCCTTCCTGTGAGATGGACTTGGGCCTTGAAAGCAAGTAACAGATTGAGATAGGACTCCTCTACACCACAGCATCAAGGCAGAGCCTTCGTCATGGGTTATTAACCACCTTGCAAAGAGGGCACTATGGCATGGGACAGGGCCAACTTTAATTTAGCCCAGTGATTAAAGGATTATTGCTTCATAACTAAGTATCTATATCTCTGTAGCTATGATAGGGCCTTATAAAAAGTGGGTTTGGTTGCTGCTCTACCTTGGTGGTGCCTGCTGTCTTACTGCCATCCCAAAAGGCAGTCCAGGTGACTGGACCATTGTCAGTCCATTGGCCAGGTGACTTCTTCACTCCATAGCACCATTTTCTCTGGTGGTTATTCTGCACCTTTACCCTGCCAGGATCAATGATTTATCCCAGTAAGATAAACAAAAGCAACACAAACCAAACAAAATTGCATTAGTTATTTCTAAGATCCTTGCCAGTAATATAATCAGTTAGTTTATGGAAAAACAGGTATCTACAGGATTCAAATTTCATCTCCAGCAGCACAGTATGTACTTCGTTTTTATTGACTCACAGTGGACAAAGTCATCAGCATTGCTCATCTTTTCAATCTAGAACATATATTGAATGTAAAAAACAGGTTTTAATCCACAGAGGAGCATCTCAGCATAAAGCATGTAGTAAAAAATGGTTTTCAGGGATATGAACACATGTATCACAGATCTTCTGCAGTGACATTTTTATCATTCTTCAAGCATTTCCTTCCTTCTACCCATGACAGCATTCTATAAACATCTCAAGCAATTCAGACCTCTGTTTCTACACTTTCAGATTATCTGTAGGAATATGATTGGTTAGTAATAATTAGTAGTAATTTAGGTAGTTAGAATTTTGTAGTCTGCAAGTGCTGTTTGCTGAACTAAAAATTCAGACTTCAGAGTACATATAATGTTGATTTGGGCCATTTGCCTGCATAACTTATGTCTTCTATGTGAGAATTTCTGTTTATTAAACTAATTCTGTGGAAGACAAAATGCTATGAATCTTCTCCCACATACACTGCTAGCCTTGTAATACCAAGTTAAGATCAGGATAATGATGTTCGGACTTACAGCATTAGAAAGAATTGTCCATCTTAGGCAAGAATTAGTAATTTCCTTTTGTGCTCTGTAAAAACATTTTATTTTTATGAGCATCTTCTTGGTCAGTCTTACTTCCATTCATCTGAAATAAACTCATGTTCTCAGCTCACGATCAGTATATGCTGGGTCCATTTTTATTTTTTTTCCTGCCATCACAAGTTCTGAATCAGAGTAGTTAGCTTTTCTGCCTCGCTTTTTCAGGAAATGGCACCATAACTCCACTGTTTCATTTTGTTCTTCCCATCTGCCAGGTTCTGAGTAGAAAACACACTGAGCCACACTTATAATAGCAGAGAGTTTTGTGTCAGGCAGAATGAGTTTCCATTTAAGGCAGAAGACTGTGAATGGGTGAACAAAGCCAGACATTAACGAGGATTCCCAGCAAGACACCTTCCCTAATGAAACGTGTGGTGATGTAACAGAAAAGTACTTCTAAAACTTGCTATTTCGATCCTTTTTATATTTTTGAACATAACCTTTGAATCATTACAGGTTTCTTCTCCAGTGCTTTTGCTGTTAGCATTGATTTGTTTTGTTCTAACAGCTTAAAAGGTTACTTTGGTTTTTGATTCATTAAATTCATGAGAGTTTAAGTTAGACACCTGCTTCTGTAAGTTAAAAATAGGTAGGAGTTACTATTCAGTGTTGTAAAATCAAATTAATTTGAACTTTTATGGAAAGCATGACCAGTATTCCCACTGCATGACTCCAATTGTAAAAGTCTTTGTGAAGGTAATTTAAGAAGTCATCATACAGTCCAGTTCAAAGGTGAGTATATACCATGTGTAGCTAGTTAGTGTAATGGGACTAAAAATCATCATCCCAAAATCCAGTTGAGTGAAATGGGTAAAGCCCTTTTTCACACTCAGTGCTGCCCTGTTACTGAGCAAACTTCCACACAAATTTAATAGTCTCCTCTCCCAAAATAGTGGCTGTTTACATGACAATAACATGAATATGCATTTAAAGCTGTCGATTACTCAGATGTCAGGACTGGGTGGAACATGATTAAGAAGTAACCAAAGAAGTTTGCTGAAATCAATGTGCAGATGTCCACATTCATTACCAACATCAGCTTCTAACAGATTAGTCTATAGTGCAGACCTGAGGAACAATGCGGCACCAAAATGCACCCAAATGTTCAAAAAGGACTTGTAGAAGTCAGATTCCACTGAATACAAATAAACTTAAGGATTAATTGCATGGGGATGGGTTGAAACAGCACCAAAGCATATGGGTTTTTTAACCGTCAGGCTGGAAAACCATTTACACTGTGTACAAGTGAAGTTATGCAAATCATAACATTTCAGAAAAATAGCGTGCAGAAATACAAAATCAACATCTAAGCAGAACAGGGAAGATTTAAGTTGACACCAGCTTACTTACACTGCTGAGAACCCAGCTGGTATGTTGTGCATATGTAGTTCTGCACTCTGACTTTGGAGGAAGTATCAGGGAATTCACAGGCAGTTATTAAACTGGGAAGCACAGAGCTTGGAAGAAGTGCTTAGTAGCCTGATAGCTTTCCCAAGCTGCCTATCCTGAAATGAATTAAAATGGTAAGGTATTGATTCTGGCAGAGAGTGATGTAACACTCCAAGACAAGAACTTACCAAAAAAGAAAATATACACATTGAAAAAACTGCTTCTAAGTGTGTGAAAAAAGTGAAAATATGTTATTAGGCAGTGCTTGAGGATGAATGAGCACACCTCTCCTTTTAGACTTTAATGAGCTTAAATTGCAGCAGCCCAGCCTTCTCCAAAATATCCTTACTAAAGCTTATCCTTTCAAAAATATAATGGGAGTCCACTGAAGTCCTCAGTGGCTCCACTGCTTACAGCATGACTAGTTTTGAAAATACTGGTTTCAAAATAAGTAACTCACTGAGCAGCGAGAAGCTATTTTTCTGAAAGTATAAACTGTTCATATGCACAAGGAGGAGCCTGACACATATGAAAACAGTATACAGTAGTATTAAGGCTGTAGCTCCAGGCAGGACTCCTACCCCCACTCTCCTATATCTGTGGGACGTTACTGTCTTCAAAGCATTGACATTCGAGCTGCTTGCGAAGGAGCTTAGCAAGTAACCAGCTTTCAGGGGCAGTTTCATTACTAGAGTAACAGAGAACAGAAGTTTTTAGTTTTCATAAAGCTCCTTCCTATATGATGACAATTGATGCTACAAGACTGAGGGTGGCTCACCAGCTGCAATAAAGAACAGGTTCAGGGATTAGTCATAAAAAATTAGTGTTGTCTATTTTTAACTATAATTTAATGTAGCCAGCTCACACAGAACATGTGCTTTTTGGATGGGGTACTTTTGTTAAAGCAAAGCCTCAAGACTCTCCCTAACTGGCAGATGTACACAACATAAATCTTCACTGGGACCAACCTCTCAGGCAACAGGATGCAATAAATAGGACACTGATCTAAGGGAACTGAAGAGACTTGGGTATTCATCCCAACTGTAAGCTGGCATGCCCAAAGATCTTCAGTATCTTCAACACTTGGCACCAAGCTTGATGTCAAAAAATGTATTCTGGGGTATCCATGTAACACTTTCCTCTTTGTTATCAGAAATGAGGTAGGAATAAATAAATCCTGTTCAATATTGAAATCTGCCTTAACAACATAACAATATTAATTCTAATGCATTAATTATAACAACTTATGTGACTTTAAAAAAATCTGCATCTGTTATTGCCTTTGTTCATCACCTCTAATTCAGATCAACTATGCTTATCATTTATAAAAAGTGTGCTTCATTTTGAATTTTATTAATTCAAAGCAGTCTAATGTATCACATAAACACTATCAAATGCTTCTGCTGTTTCCAGCGGCTGAAATACTTTTTTATCATATGGAAACAGACTCCTTCACAGACTTGCATAATCCCCTGGAGGGGAGTGTTTCTGTGTTTGGTAAAATACAGTTTAAGCAGTGTTTCACCTTTGCCAAGTTCTATCTTATCAGCATTTATACTTACTTGGAAAAAGCAAACTTGCTTCATGGGGCAAGTACTATCTATACTAGCATACATGGCTCAGCATTAAAATAATAAATCCTGTTTAATTAGAAAACTGAAGAAACTGCTTCTTCACAATTGGAAATCACGCCGCTACGTTTTGCTCATGAGAACAAAGTTTACAGTCGTAAGTTGCACATAAAGGGTTTATTTTAAATGTTTTAAGGATAGAGTTACATCATAATTATAAAAATTACTTACAGAATTAAGTAACAGATTTAAAGTGTTTATACTTCTAAATGCAGAGAACAGGGAACTGTCTACATTGTTCAAAATAAAATAAAAATAATGAAACCAAGCTCTAACGATGAAGTCATTACCTAATTTAAAAATGTGAACACGAAGACCTTTGAACTATACACATACCAAGAACCATCCAAATTGCACTAATGATGTAAAATACAAAAAGCACAGCATTTTCAAGGAACCAGAAACTGTTTTTACCACGATTTTTTTCCCCTGAAGCAACGGAAGTCAATTCTACCTGAAGATAAAGCCTCCATTTTAAAATAATTTCCTTAAAGAAGGCTTCTAGCTATAAAAAAAAAAAGAAAAACCAGACAAAACAAACCCCCCAAAAACAACCAAAGAAACAAAACAAAAAAAAAACCAATCTAAAACCCCAACAAAAATCAACCAACCAAAAAACCCAAAAAGGGTTTTCACCATAGCCTACTCCAACATTGTTTAGGGATTGGCACTCAAAAGAAAGAAGAAAAATGTAGTGTTTTGTTAATCAACTGCAATTTTATTTTTTCTGTAACAGAATACTTGGTCCCTTCAAATGCTGTATGACACATACAACTGGAAAATTACCTTCTGTTGGCACTATGCTCGTCTCACCGGTGCATTTAATCCTACTAACAACCATTAAAACAGCACAATAAGCAAATTCACAAAAAACTGAACACAAAATAAAAACGGAACAAAACAAAAACCTAAACATTTTAACATGCAACTTTAGTTTGTTACATTGAATGTTCTAACCCTCTAAGCATGCAAAAAAGGATGGTCTGCATTTAATTTTTTTTTCCCTTTAGAAAGTTTTACATGGCAGCCTGACATCACACACACGCACACACACAATATACAACAATACTACAGCAGGTAAATGTGAAAGGCGAATAACTTTTATACAAAGATCCATGGCTTGTGCCATCACAAGCCCTATGTGGTTTTGGAAAGTAATGTTGAACCCCTATAACAAGGAACCAACATTTAGTTACCAGGGTAACGCAAGCACTGCATGCAGATCTGAAACATGAGCCTAAAACAAAGCCCAAAGCAGATGGGCAGGGAGTGGAATTAGTCTCAAGCCTCAAAAATGGTGGTCTAAGCTATTAAAAAAAAAAAAAAAGAGGCAAAATAAAAGATGAAAAGAAATACCCACTGAACAGACAATGGGGACATCAAAAAACAACCATTAAATTTACAGTTTATAGATTATACTCTAATTGGCAGAATACATGGTGTATCCAAGAGGCTTGCAGAAAACCCACAAATGCAAGCCTAATGCTAAAAATGTTCCAGTAGACCTAAACCTCAGATATTTCAAAACAAACCTTGTAATCCTCAGATGTATAGCATAAAGTTCAGTGTACTAGGTTATTCATGTATCTTGTGTATAATCAATACACTCACTCATTCTTGTGCCACAGATATCAACTTGGGCTCATGGAGCCAGGCTCAGCTTTGAGATTTACATGCAGGACTCTTAAGAGTCAATAGAAAACACATAACAGATCTGCAGGATGAAAACACTGTGTTGCAAATCTGCTTTGTTCAAAACGCAAGGAACGTTTACGACTTGGGTACCTAGTGCTTAAGGACTGCATTGAGAAGCTATTCACTGAAAGACAACAGCCTGCCTTTGGTTGCCCATGATGAAATACTGGACATATGCAATATAATAGCAATGGACAAAGAATTAAGGTATCATATTTATATGGAGAGTATTTATTACCATTCAACAGCATAATGAGGCACAAGCCTTAAGGCTAAAATATGAAATCAGGCAAAAAAGTTGACAAAGGGGCTTAAACCACTGAGTCTTCAATATCAAGAATACCCACAACAGAGGTCACTCGGACCTCTGATCTCCGATTAACAGCATCTCTCCTGCATCCTTCCACTAATGGCATATGGTTGGATTATCAGAGTATTTGTTCCTTCCATCAACAGTGTTGACTGTCTTCACATACTGTATTTCTGTGAAGCAGTTCTTTGAAAATTGCAGAGCTCTGCCTTAATGTACCATGACGATTTTGTTGCTGTGCCGATCCTTGTTGCAGTTCTCATGCTTTTAAAGACTGCCATACTTAAAATTCTCTACTTGAAAACCTTTACAACTAACTTGCAAGATTAAAACTATGACAGGATTTTGCTGTTGTGGGCTGCTATTTACATCCACAATCTAATGCAGATGACTGAACCACTGAGACTACCTACAGCTTCCATCAGATAGTACACCACTGGCATGCAGAACTCTAGTGTTCATAGAATGAAATTCATGTTAACAGCATACCTCAAAGCAAGTACAATGTATACCACAAAAGGCAACAGGTTTAAGCTGTAGATTTGTCCAGACACTCCTTATGTGGAAAAGCCAGAAAAAGAATTAATTGGGAAGATGCCTTCCTGAACCAAAATGGTTAAGAACAAAACAAAGAAATGCAACAGACTGAGCAGAAGGCAACAAATGCTTCTCCTTCCCTAAAGTAAATCTTGAATGTGAAAGGACACCCCCTCCCCACTCCCTTGGCATGAGATTGTATTTATTTATTTAACTACTGTTAGGCTTCTGAGTCCACACATAAACATTCAGGTTGCTAGGTTCTGATATTAAGTAAGAGACTACTGATTGCCAATGTGTAGTCTAAAGTCTTCTGAAGTAGCATATATACTGTTAAAGTTGTGGCACCAAGCACTTGGGTTTTGCTAAGAAGTGTGTATAACGAAAGAAAGAAGTACAACATTTAGGATTGAAGGCAGCCTTGTGGCATGTATTTTACTGGTTCCTACAACTTGTCAGTATGGGCCATTAACCTGCATTTTCTAATTAATTGGTTATACAGATTAAATGCATTTTTATAGTTTAAAGCCTTTTCACTGAAAGATGCATTAAGACCAACACTTGGTATCCTACTGCCCTGTGACTAGTAAAAATGCACAAGTATTCCTATGTACTGCAAGTTCTTAAAAAGCTAAATTCGAAACAAAGTGTAGAAACACAGCAGACTGATGTTACTTGGGTTAGGCACTCCTCAATGCTGAACTGTTGAAACCTTTCAAAAAAGTCACCTCTGTCCCAACCCTGAAAACAAGGACTGCTAGTAGCCAAAAAATTAAATTTAATGTTACAAAAGAAGGCATATCAAAATATCAAACTACACCTGCATGTGGCAGTTGAACAAGTGAGTGCAAAGTTGAAGAAAAAGTTAAAATCTATGAAAAAATTTAGATTAATGGTTACAATACTAGATCAACTTTACACAGCTTGAATTTGCAGCTGTTCTTTGCTTTTAACTCCCTCCTGCCCAAATATATCAACTTCCTTCACCAAAAGGAGCTCTCTTACACAAAATGTCACATTTGTTTATATTATTCAGAACAAAACAGTTTTGCTGGCAGAGATTGTGGGTTCGCAGGGACATTTAAGCTTTCATTAAACTGGAAAGCAGTCAAGTCTTTGTGTCTACAAATTTTACATTTAACAGTTCCACAAATTTGGCAAAAGTTCACAATGATGTCTAGGATGTCTTCACCAAATCGTAGACATAAATATGGAAATCATCATCAAACTTGATGAAATAGACAGATGGTTTGGCTTCAACTTGATGAATGACCATGCCAGTCCTTTTTGAGCCATCTTCTTTGGCATATTCCACTTGTTTGCCTACCAGGCTGTCCACAACTTCACCTGGTTCCCGTTCTGCAGGAGGTGAGTCATCTGTAACACAAAACCAGTGTATTTTGATAGACATTAATGGAATTTTTCAATATGGAAAACTACTGCAGAGTCTCCTTTAAAACTCACATGGAATTATCAGAATTTTTAAATACAGGGTATGCAGAAAGTTAGTTTTGTTCAGACAAGTATCTAATGATTGCCATGCTTCTAGAAACTGCAGTTGCAGATGAACTTTTGAGTAGAATTGTCTTCATTTTTTTAAGACAAAAATGGCACTCTGATTGGTAAGAGAAGTAAAGCCTTTGACATGAATGTTTATCCACACATTATAGAAAATCTCTGTGGATAATTAATTTAAGCCACTACCAGAAAAAGGCACTGGCCTCCTTAGCAGAAAGGCAGCCAAACTGAAATCTACCTCTTCCCACATGCATTATTCAGTGTTTCAATGCATGCACACCACTGCAACTAAAACATCTCTTCTAAAGTGCAAGTGTAAACTCCTCATGAAAAGAGGCTTTGGACTCCATAGTGGAGTAATGCTGTGGATAAAGTCTAACCATGTTATTTTCTTGTCTGGCAAAACTTACCCAGAATATCCTTGTATTACAGATTATGCCTATGCCTGATTTGGGTACAAAAATGCATGACCTGTAACATACTATTTACCAAGGGGTTGGTTACAACCTGATCACAAAACAAATGTGACAGTAGGTGAAAAGACAGTACTGGAGAACTGGAAGCTAACCACAACGTATTTTCTCAGTTTGTCTTCCTTTTTGACCAGTTTAGGTAAACCTCTGTTTTGTATCACAGTAAGGAAATTTCTTAGTAAAGGTCACACCTGATGTAGCTTTTTATTATAGAAATCTTAAGCTTTTAAATTAATATTTTTATTCCAAGTTCACATTAAGCAACCTGTACAGAGTTCACCCATTTCCTTTTCTGTTCTGAGAACTGTGAAAGAGCTCGCAAATAAAAAAGCCCAAAACATCATGGAATTAACAGACTGGCTTACACTTAAGATTCTTCCACAAACTTGAGAAGTTCCTCTTTCAATTTTTGTTTCAGTACCTCTGTAAATGCACTAGCACATGTGGCTATTATCTTCTTAATACCAGTTTTATGTGAACAGTCTCCTTGGCAAAGATGCAAGATGAACTCTTACATTTGCATTCAAAACGAATTACAAAGTATTGACCAAGTTTTAGTATCAGATCCAGCAACACATTTTCCCATCATGAAGAAAAGTTTTACAGGAATTATCCAAATTTTGGTCTCTTGACATATGCGAAACCTGTCTTTGAAAAGAGAGCGCTCCCTAGAAATATAACTACTGTGGCAAGTTCCACCAAATTTATAGATGTACTTCCCAGATAGTAGTCTAAAACCTGATTTGAAAAATAATACTGTTAACACTCAATCATTCACTTCAGGACACAATTAAAAAGATCTGGAAAGCATTTAGATTCAGTGAAGGTGGCAAATACTTAAAGAGTGTTTCATAAACAGGTAAGCAGTAAATAGTCTGGTGGTGAGCATGAATGAAAAGGTGCACTAAAACCAATCAGATCTTAAATGGAAGGAAAGCACATAAGCTCTTTCCCCATCCCTACCCCCAAAGGTGCAAGAAAACAAAGCAGACTTTAAATACATTCCAAGTACTTTTAAACAGTTAAGATAAAGAACAAGTTAACTGAAGGTTCAAATCTGAAAGAGCTTGCTTTATTTTCTTCAGGACAAGGAAGGTCACTTTTCCATTAACATTTGTGGATCACTCTTTACAAGTAGCAAATATGTTTTTTCTCCCCCCTCCTAACAGCTATTAAGGGTGGGGAAAAAAAAATAAATATCTAAACACAGATGATTAACTACAGACACGTAAGTAAGTGCCACAGCCAGCAGATTGTTATCAGTGCTAGACCTGAAGGACAAGAGTCTCAAACTCCACAAACTGGCTGTAATCAATACTTCTGTAAAGCACTATGTAGCCAACCACTACAGTTACCTAATTATTAATTTTCTTTAAAGCCCAGATTTCCCCTTTCGCAGAGTCTGTTTTAGGTAAATGGAAGAAATAAAAAAGTATTCTTTACAAGCATTTTTTAGTTCTTTCCCCTTCGTCCCCAGTCCCCCTCTTTGCACTGGCTATTCGAATCTCTTGAACAATACTGATTCTGTGAAAAATCCTTCTAAATTAATCGGGAAAGTCCCAATGACTTTCATTTCAAGAAGGGAGGAAAAAAATATCCCTCAATCTGAAATATCCTTCTTGCTAGTGTGTTGAAATATGTGAGAGAAAATTAATTTTTACAAGATTAGTACTTCTTTCCCCCAAGAAACTACTCAGAAGTTTTTCACACTGAAGACACCTAGCCCAACAAAATGAATCTATTAGCTGGTCCCAAAACACTACTCCCAGAAGAAATGCTTCAGAAACACAAGTCAAGTGCCATTTGGATGAGCTGAGGTACTTCTGCCAGAAAACAACAGTGGAAAACTTCTGGTTTGTCAGTTTCATTAAGAAATCCAAGTAGAAACTCATCCACAGTAGGACGTAGCTATTTTCACCAGAATTAGGAATAACTATGGAAAATGATTTTGCCTGCATATGTCACTGCTGATAAAAGTAAAATTTCAGCAGTTAACACAGATGTTCTTTGTTGTGCCATAACCTTTGTTAGCTGTTATCCTTAGGAAAAAAAAAAAAAAAGAATAAAAAAGGCAATGACCAGAGTAACAAACAAGATCTTTTTCATTTCTCCTGTCCATAAATAAAACACAGCCAAGATTAATACAAAAAGCTACCACTTTCTAGAAGAAAACAGTAACTGGGTTACTTACTTGAATCAGGCATAATGCGAAGGTCGCCTTCTTTATAATCATCTAAGAGTTGGTACATGTACAAGACGGGATCTTTCTCGTAGGTAATATAAAACCACGTGTTCATAATAGGAGCTCGAGCCAAAACCATCCCCCTCCATTCATCTTTTGAGCCATCCTCTGTCTCAAACATATGTTCCACAGCTTTACCAATCATTGTGTCTGCCAGGTGGGCATCACTAATTCGAGATGAAGCTGAAATGACAGCATTTTGTAAGTTCATTCAAATGCACAGCTATTACCTATGTCTTTGTGAAAAATAACCTTTACCCTGACTTATAAGCAGCTTTTGTTTGGAAGTCAATTTGTATACAAAACAAATACTGTCCATTCCAGAGAATTTACTATTGAAGAGCTGCAGAAGCTCAAAATCTTACTAAAGTAACAATACACCATTGTACTCCCTATGGTTAAGCAATCAAGGGTAAATGGAAGGTAAAGGGAGATAACTGAGGCCACAGCAGAGAAGGCTCTTTGTATTTTAACTAGACACTGGATGGGGAGAGAGGCAGGCAGCGGAGAAGAGAAAGACAGGCCAATCATAAAAGAATTCTATGAAGTTATGAATGACACTTTGGGGTTTTGTTCCCTCTAATGCCACTCTAGAGACTGCTACCAATTGCTCTGCAGCCAGAAGAAGCACCAGCTTATTTTATTTATGAATTAGTAATTCCTTGCTTAAATAAACACTGAACTTTGCTGATTTTGAGGATCAAAAAGCCTTGTTACTAATCAAGTTATTTCACTCAGAAGACAGAATCATAGAATAGTTAGGGCTGGAACGGACCTTAAGATCATCTACTTCCAACCCCCCTGCCATAGGCAGGGACACCTCACACTAAACCATATCACCCAAGGCCTCGTCCAACCTGGTCTTGAACACTGCCACGGACACAGCATTCACAACCTCCCTGGGCAACCTATTCCAGTGCCTCACCACCCTAACAGGAAAGAATTTCCTTCTTATATCCAATCTAAACTTCCCCTGTTTAAGTTTTAACCCATTACCCCTTGTCCTATCACTATAGTCCCTAAGGAAGAGTCCCTCCCCAACATCCCTATAGGCCCCCTTCAGATACTGGAAGGCTGCTAGGACGTCTCCATGCAGCCTTCTCTTCTCCAGGCTGAACAGCCCCAACTTTCTCAGCCTGTCTTCATATGGGAGGTGCTCCAGAACCCTGATCATCCTCGTGGCCCTTCTCTGGCCTTGTTCCAACAGTTCCATGTTCTTTTTATGTTGAGGACACCAGAACTCCACACAATGCTCCAAGTGAGGTCTCACGAGAGCAGAGTAGAGGGGCAGGATCACCTCCTTGGACCTGCTGGTCACGCTCCTTTTGATGCAGTCCAGGATACGGTTGGCTTTCTGGGCTGCAAGCGCACACTGAAGCCGGCTCATGTTCAGTTTCTCATCAGCCAACACCCCCAAGTCCTTGTCTGCAGGGCTGCTCTGAATCTCTTCTCTGCCCAACCTGTAGCTGTGCCTGGGATTGTTCCAACCCAGGTGCAGGACCTTGCACTTGTCATGGTTAAACTTCATAAGGTTGGCATCAGCCCACCTCACAAGTGTGTCAAGGTCCCTCTGGATGGCATTCCTTCCTTCCAGGGTATCAACCGAACCACACAGCTTGGTGTCATCAGCAAACTTGCTGAGGGTGCACTCAATCCCACTGTCCATGTCAGTGACGAAGATGTTAAACAAGACCGGTCCCAACACCGATCCCTGAGGGACACCACTCGTTAGTGGTCTCCAGCTGGACATTGAGCCATTGACCACAACTCTCTGCATGCGGCCAGCCAGCCAGTTCTTTATTCACTGAGTGGTCCATCCATCAAATTGATGTCTCTCCAATTTAGAGACAAGGATGTCATGTGGGACAGTGTCAAACGCTTTACAGAGGTCCAAGTAGATGACATCAACTGCTCTACCCCTGTCCATCAGTTCTGTAGCCCCATCACAGAAGGCCCCATCATAGAAGGTCAGGCAGGATTTCCTCTTAGTGAAGCCATGCTGGCTGTCACCAAGCACCTTGTTGATTTTCATGTGCCTTAGCATGCCTTCCAGGAGAATCTGCTCCAAGATTTTGCCAGGCACAGAGGTGAGACTGACTGGTCTGTAATTCCCTGGGTCATCCATTTTCCCCTTCTTGAAAATGGGGGTTATATTTCCCTTTCTCCAGTCATCGGGAACTTCACCTGACTGCCATGATTTCTCAAATATGATGGCCAGTGGCTTAGCAACTTCATTTGCCAGCTCCTTCATGACCCGCGGATGGATTTCATCAGGACCCACGGACTTGTGCACATTCACATTTTTAAGATGGTCTCGAACCAGACTCTCTCCTACAGCTGGCCCAAGGTCTTCATTCTCACAGTCCCTGTGTCTGCCTTCCAAGACTTGGGTGGTTTGGTCAAAGCCTTTGCCAGTGAAGACTGAGGCAAAGAAGTCATTCAGAACCTCAGCCTTCTCCAAATCCCATGTAGCCAGTTCTCCCGAGAGCTTCCTGAGGGGGCCTACATTCTCCCTAGTCTGTTTTTTATTTGCTATGTACCTGTAGAATCCCTTCCTGTTATCCTTAATATCCCTAGCCAGGTTTAATTCTAACTGGGCCTTAGCTTTCCTAACCTGGTCCTAGCTTCCCGGACAACATCCCTATACTCTTACCATACCACCTGTCCTTGCTTCCACTTATTATAAGCCTCTTTTTCATTTGAATTTTCCTCAGCAGCTCCTTATCCATCCAAGGAGGTCTCCTGGCCCTCCTGCTGCATTTCTTTCTAGTTGGGATGCAACACTCCTGAGCTTGTAGCAGGTGATCCTTGAATATCAGGCAAGAGTCTTGGGCCCCCCTGCCCTCCAGGGCTATATCCCATGGAACCTTACTAAGCAGGTTCCTGAAGAGGCCAAAGTCTGCTCTCTTGAAGCCCAGGGCAGTGAGCTTGCTGCACGCTCTTCTCACTGTCCTGAGGATCTCAAATTCAACCATCTCGTGATCACTGCATCCAAGACTGCCCTGGAGCATCACATTTCCAATGAGCCCTTCCCTGTTGGTGAGCATAAGGTCAAGCATGGCACCTCTTCTTGTTAGCTCCTCTGTTACTTGCAGAAGGAAGCTGTCTTCCACACAATCGAGGAACCTCCTGGATTGCTTGTTCTGGGCTGTACCATCCTTCCAACAGGTATCAGGGTGGTTCAAGTCCCCCATGAGAACAAGGGCCCGTGAGCGTGAGGCTTTTCCTATCTGTCTATAAAGTACTTCATCCACAGGCTCTCCTTGATCAGGCGGTCTGTAACAGATCCCCACAGTAATGTCTCCCATAGCTATATTCCCTTTAACCCTGACCCACAAACTCTCTGTGGACTGCTCACCTGTCCCCAGACAGAGTTCCATACTCTCCAGCCTGTCCCTAACATAAAGGGCAACTCCCCGTCCCCACCTGCCATTTCTCCTCCCATTATTAAAAGTACTTAAGGGAATTACATGCGGAAATGTGACATTAGTACTGTCAAGACACAGAACAGAAAACACCAACCATTTAATTTTAACAGAAATATCAATGTTAATCTAAACAAAACCTACAGAATGTATTGCTTATTACTTTAAGGCTGAAGACAACAACGCACTCACTGGTATCATCAAATCTTTGTGGAATCAAGAAAATTTAAACAGAGCATTTAGATTACCTGCCATGAGACATCAATGAAATTGACTAGTAACATTAAAGTGGTCAGATGTTATCTTGAGGGAAGTCCAGAATGATTAATAGAGAATATTTAATAGTAGATGTCAGGTATATGTATGTGAATTTAGGAGAAAAACCCAAAACACTTACCAACTCTGTCTGGAAGAACTTCAAGTGCTGAAACTCTTTCATCTTTGTGCAGTTCTAGTCCATACACACAGTCAAATCCATCATACTTTATAAGATAGAGAGAGGGATTTACAGGAACTTGATCAAGAACTGTGCCCTTCCATTGTGTTACAGGTCCACTACCTTCTTTCCATCCATGCTGTATTCTGCAGCCTACAATATTTCTTCGTGGCTGAGAAATAGGTTTGCTTGGTCCCACATTGTTTCTATGCTTTCTGTACACAGATACAAATACAGTATTAAACAAGCACATACATGTATTCAAAATTCTACTCCAGACGAGCTGTATGCTTGACATGGCATTTTATAGTTATGTGCACCTTATTCAAATTTGGGTATAAAGCATATTATACTGTATTGGAAATAAGAAAAACACACTGAAAAGTAGTGAAACAATGTTTATGTGTGTGGCAAAGTTAGTTTACTGAGTTGTTTCCAAAACTAGTTTGCTTAAGCAAAAAAACAAACAACTATTTTAGCCATTGTTACACTGAATGTCAAAAGTCAAACTCACCTGATCAGGTCTCAAGGCACAAGTTATCTGGCAATATTACAACTTTACTACCTGGCTGCTTCCTGTAGAAGAATAAACACAAATCCTGTCCCAGGATGAGGAAATCAGTGGAAACATTACCAGTGGCCGACTAAAATTCTTTCACAGGGTGTTTGTTTTCCCTACCTGTGTTTTCACCTGAAGGCAATTTAGCTTCCTTCTCTGTTTACAGATATTTTTGACTCCTGAGTATTTTTAAAGATACATGCTAGCAACACTTCTCTTGCATTCCTTCTTAGTATAGCAAAATGGTATGTAATGGTAATAGCAATAGAATGGATGCTCGTTAATGTGGAAAGGAGACCTTATAGCAGCCTTCCAGTAGCTAAAGGGGGCCTACAAGGATGCTGGAGAGGGACTCTTCATCAGGGACTGTAGTGGTAGTACAAGGGGTAATGGGTTTAAACTTAAACAGGGGAGGATTTATGCTGGATATAAGGAAGAAATTCTTCACTGTGAGGGTGGTGAGGCACTGGAACAGGCTGCGCAAAATAGTTGCAAATGCTCCATCCCTGGAAGTGTTCACAGCCAGGCTGGACAGGGCCTCAGGTGAAGTGGTTTAGCATGAGGTGTCCCTGCCCATGGCAGGGGGGTTGGAACTAGATGTTAAGGTGCTTTCCAACCCTAACCATTCTATGATTCTGTGAGTCTATAACAGATCAAATATACTTTTTTAGCCTTCTACCATTTTCATGGAAGCCGTATGGAGATTCCCTCTGGCAAGTAACAGTTGTTCTGATCAATGGTCATGTAAGCTGGTAATGGTCATTTGACAGTTTCAAATAATTGCAAGTTTTGTTCTACTCAGTTATTAAAAACAAAAAGTGACAATTCTGAATACAGATTAAATAAACTAATAAATATGATAGACTATTGGTGATAAATATTTTATATATTTTAGCATGTTACAATACACATATTGATTCCTAAAAAGGTTATTGAGAGGGTTGCTGGATAAAATTTCTCATGAATGCCAACTAGTTGTAAAGAAATTTTTGGTTTACTACTTGTAGTACTTTTTTATTTAAATGGCAGTAAAACGTGCACACCGGTAGCATGCTTAAAAGAAACATCTAACAGAGGCTATCAGCTGCAGAGAATAATACTCTTCCTTAGTCTACAGATAGTGACCAATGCTCTCAGAGAAGCCCCTATATGATCCAAAAAAGACAAGTAACAATTACACCAGCGAAATCCTGGAAGCATTTTTTTAGAATAATGCACTCACTCCGTGACATTGTAATGCTTAATGGACATGGGAATGCCTGATGCTGAAATTATAACCATTAAAAACAAGGCATAAGATTCCTTTAGCAGCTTTTCCCACCACCAGACCTTCATTCACCATGAAAATACTAGCAGAGGGGTTTATCAAATTTCACTTTTGTTATCATTTGAGCTTTTTAGCAAGATCAAACTGCAGGTTTTGTATTCTTAACTTTGATAGCACAGATTTTTCTAGAACACCAACCTCTTCCAGTTAAGAGACACTGTTTAGAATGGATTTTCAAATCCTAGTTCTTGCTTAAGCACACACACACACACACACACACACACACACACACACACATATATATATACACACGTGTACGTTTTTTGGTGTTTTTTTTTGTTTGTGTTTTTTTTTTTTTTTTAACTGGAACAGTGCAAGTAATAGTTTACTACTACAAAATGAGATCAGAGGCCTGGTCTGTGGCACAATAAAAATGTTTTGTATGCAGCCTATTTATTCCAATGAATCATAATTCCATTCTAAAGCAGAACAAAATCAACTGAACATTAAAGTGTCATCTGTTTTTATTAATTTTAAGCAGTTCGTCTATGCTGCTAATCATCATTGAAAAAGGTAAAAATAACACTATTGATGTTCAACCTCATGGTCAATTCTACTCTCTTTCTAATCCACTTAAATATTTAAATTGGAACAATAAAGCAAAAAGCTTCACACTCACTCATTCAAAAAATATGATGGAAAAAGATTACATAACTGAGTTCAAACTGAGTTCGCTACCTTTAAAATGCCTCAGAGAGCAAAAAACATTATATATTTAATTCCAAGTCAAGTACCCTTCAGGTGTACTTGCAGTTCAAATTTTTGTTTGGGGATACTGAATAGCCATTCACTCTCATTTGCACTGGTTCATAGTGCAAGAAATGAGATTTTCAAACTAGTAATTTACCAAGGCAAATCAACTTCTTGCAGCTGACCATGCGGTAAAAAAAAGCAAGCACAGGTTTATAACTATCAATAAATAATACCTATGGATATATTTCCATGTAAGACATCCAAGTAACCAACTCAAATCACTCCTCAATAGTGCATTATTTCTGTGATACACCAAGTAATACAAATGTACACAATCTTCATGATGCTACATCCAGAAGGCTCAACACAATTTTTTCATTACAATTTTTTCATCGCAATTATCTTTAAAATTCCACAAAGATTTGCTCTTGAAGATGAATTTTCCTGGACACATAAAACATGGAGCCAGGAAAACAAGAAAATGCCAAGTACTGAAAACAGCTTTTGACATGTCAGACACATCCTCACTATAAACAGCCCTTCAGTCCTCAAAAGTTTCAGATCCTCTTCTTTATCATGAAGAGCAATAAGCTGGTAAGTAAAACCTAGCTGGCATGAGAAAGTTTCATTATCAGGACCAGATAGTCTAGAAGCTTCTTAAGGACTGTGCAGGCAGAAGGAATTCTTCCTGGATTTTGAAGCTGTGCTTATATGGCTCTCACACAAATTTCTATTTGGCAGCTGCTACCAGGGAAACAAATGTAGTGCAGAACTGCACAGGACTGGTAGCAGAAAAATCAACCATTACTTCGGGGTTGTACTTAAATGACAAACCAGAATTTATAAAAAGCAGAATAGCAATTCCCAATAGCCTATGAAGTCAACTATTTTATCCATGTAGGTTTGGTTGCCATGGTTTATTTTTCTGTTGTCGTTGGGGTTGTTTGGTTGGTTGGTTTCGTCTCTTAAACACCTTATCATCTCATCTCAGAAAGCCACCACATGGTAGTACTAAATAAAAAGCCAGAAGGGTGGAAGAAAACCATACACAACTGATGTGCTAAAAAGACAACTGTGAAAAAAAGGAAAGGAAAACTATGAAGCAGTATAAATGCAGAACAGCAGCAACAGTCAGTACAATTTCAAGCCTTTTGTAGTACTAAGCAGAAAAGTTAGGATCCAAAACTTTTGACAATTCTGATCTTACTACAGACTATCAATAACAGCAGAATGGTGATGACAAAATTGTTATTAACTACTTTTCACAATATTCAGACTGTAAGGCACATTAGTTGAGGCAAAAGTTTTAAAGTACTTCTAGTACTCTCTCAAAAGCCATCATTCAGTTGTGAATTTCATCTTCAGATGCTTCAGGAACCAAGACCAAATGTTAGCTTGATCAGAATTCTGAAATTTAAGTTCACTTGTAGCTAAATAGCAGGTATAACTTGCACCTTCAAGTCCTTGAATTGCCAACTACAAGAAATAGAGAGCCTATGAAGAAAGGATTGTTTTATATTTACGCCATTTCTTGCACTCGGTTGTTATGCACCAAGGGTGGAAAGAATGGTATCTGGGAGATTACTGACTGACTGATGTCAGTAAGGTCAGCTTCATATTGACAGAGATTACCACTGCCCACTGACAAAGCACTTGGAAGAACTGCCCTAGAACCATGGAAACTGTTCCCATAAGGTTCAAAAGTTAACTACTATTTGTAGAGGAACAGTGCAGAAGACTCATCCACGCTGCTCATTCTATCACACCCTCAATTACTGAGTCATGCCCTGTTTTATCCTCTCGGCTTTTGGCTCCTTCCTCTGCCACAAACCTTCTAAGCTAGTTTGAAGTCTGCTTGACGGCCTTTGAGTGACATTAGACTTGTTTCTCTTTTTCTTTAAATGAGTAGTAACTAAATTGGTGACAAAGTATGCATTACTAACTCATAGTCTATCATAATGGCTCAGAGTAGTATCAGCGTATATTATTACATGGTCACTCATAGCCTACTCATTTATAATAAATATGAAAAATTCTCTACTACTATGCCTCATTTTCAGAACGAATCAGGAACAGCACACAAGAAGTCATCTTGATCTGGTACAAAACCCCCTTAATAAATACTTAACAATCGAACTACACTAAATTAACATAAAACTAAGCTGGGCCCTCAAGTTAAATGCCTCAAAATCTTGTCACTTAGGATCAAAATTCTTATACCCCATAAAAGCCCTTCATGCTAACAAATTTACAGCCTATTTAGGTATTTAAATAAGTGTATATTAACACAACAGTAAAGACAAATCTAGCCACCCTCAAGTACAAAAGGCAACCCACCTCTGATAGTCTTCCCATCATACACTCCTTTCTCTGAGCGGTTGAAAGAGAACAAGAGAAATTAAGTTTTAACCAACTCTAACTGCCCCTACACAAATAAATGTTTCTCTTTGCCCTCTATGGAGATAGACAAGAATGGATAATGATGAGCTGGTGGAAGGAATTAGAGTAGTTTTACATCAGGTGTTGTCTGTGGGAAACAGTTAACACTGTTAGCAGTGATTAACTATCTTAATTGTGGAAAATACACCTGCCAAACAAAGGTTTTGATTGATGCACCACTATAAGTCTTTACACTTAGAATATAGATAGTAACATTTTAGTAAATTTCACACTTACCCAGCTTAGATTTCTCCCACCAGAGATGTAGCCAGATATAACACCTCGCTGTTTGACACTAATAACAATTATGCCCAGAACATCACCTGTATTTTCACATAGCTACTCACCCATGTTCAGCTGCTACTATTTAAGAATGTTGTAGAGGGAAAAAAACATTACATGAATGCGTGGGAGAAGCAGGTATCCTTCAACATGAATTATCAGCCTCCTTAGAGAAGTATTTCAATATATTCTTTATTTTAAAAAAGTGAAAATTCCTCTTAAAAACTACACTTGTAGTGAATACAAGATTAGATATTTTTAATATTACTTCCAGACTGGGTTATTGGTAAGCATGCTTTGCAGTTTTTATTGGCTGGGTGACAATACATGAACTCTGTGCCAGAGAACAGAGATCCTACAGTATGGGCAGTTAATTTCTGGCTTGGAACTCCTTTTCTCTGAATTTCAGAAAGAATTTGAAAATTGTATTCAAGGACAATGTCATAAGAACAGTCAGAACCAGTTTAAAACTCTATTTGTAAGGGCATTCTTTCCTATCACCCTCCTGAAAGAATTGAAAGTCTGACTCAACACACAGATACAGACTGAGGATTATTCCACATGATTTTCAAGAACAAAGTCAGTGGAACAATATAGATATATTTCTAGAACAGCATTTCCAGTTTCCGAGAGCTATACTTTAGTACAAATATTAACAACTTACTTGTGGGAAGTTCTTTTCTTCATCATGCTGGCAGACACTCCTGTATGACCTACAATATAAATGAAGTTGAAATTATTGAAAAATAAAGTGTGCCCACAAAGCCAAAACCAGCCATCTTACACTAGTCTTCCTTTTTTATTCAAAATGCAAAGAATCCAAACACTTCGTGTTATGACTGATCAAGTAATTGCTACAATGGAAGAAGGCTCTGCAGAGACAAACACAGCCTACCTGCTCATAAAACATGTTCCCCAACCCCTCCCTCCTTCCCGGTCTTCACTACCCATTCCTCTACTTCCTTGCCACCAGTAGCACAAGGGGATGGGAATGGGGGCTGTGGTCCATCCATCTCAAGCTGTCTCTGATGCTCCTTCCTCCTCATGGGAGGACTCCTCACACTCTTTCCCTGCTACAGAGTGGGATCCCTCACATGGGAGGCAGTCCTCCATGAACTCTGCCAGCATGGGTCCTTCCCATGGGATACAGCTCTTCACAACCTGCTCCAGCGTGGGTCTCTTTCACGGGTGCAGTCCTTCAGGAACAGACTGCTCCAGCATGGGTCTCTTCCATGGGTGCATCCTTCAGGAACAGACTGCTCCAGCATGGGTCCCTTCCATGGGGTGCATCCTTCAGGAACAAACTGCTCCAGTGGGGGTTCCTTCCATGGACTGTACCCTTCAGGAACAGACTACTCCAGTGTGGGTCCCTTCCATGGGGTGCATCCTTCAGAAACTGACTTCTCCAGTGTGGGTTTCCCATGGGATCACAAGTCCTGCCGCAAACCTGCTCCACTGTGGGCTCCTCCCTCCATGGGGACACAGCTCCTGCCAGGAGCCTGTTCCAGTGCAGGCTTCCCACACACTCACAACATCCTTCAGGCATCCTCCTGCTGCAGCATGCAGGGGCTGCAGGTGGAACCTGCTCCACCACAGACCTCCATGGGCTGCAGGGGCACAACCTGCCTCACCATGGTCTGCAGGGGCATCTCTGCTCTGGTGCCTGGAGCACCTCCTTCCCTCCTGACCTTGGTGTCTGCAGGGCTGCTTCTCTCATAGCCTCAATTCTTTTCTTCTGGCTACTGTTTGCCAGCAGGATTTTTCCCTTCTTAATGTTATCCCCGAGGTGCTACCACTGTCACTGATGGGTTCAGCCTTGGTCAGCAATGGGCCTGTCTTGCATCTGGCTGACACTGATTCTGTCAGACATGGGGGAACCTTCTAGCAGCTTCTCACAGAGACTTCTGTAGCTGCCCCCCCAACAGCTTTCCATGCAAACTCAATACAGAAACTCAGGAATGAACATAAAGACTGACAGATCACAATTATTAAAAAGAAAGCTGAACACATTAGGGACCGGTGTGGTCCTGTTCTAGGGAAACGCTGTAATCACTGAGATGATCCAACAGCTACAACAGTTAAATGAATCAACAGGCTATGTAACTTTTCAACTGGCTCAGTAACTTTTCATCCTTGAGTTAATCAAAAAGGCACAAATACACGTCAGACCAGCACTGGGAAAGTATATACAAATCTCACCCTAACAGAGCACACGAAGAAGGAATATGAGCCGCCCTGAGAAGAACAATAGGCTTGACCTAGCTTCAACCTATGTATTTTTCACAATGAAGAGCAACCAGCCATTGGAATAACATCCCCAAGGAAGTGGTGGACTCCTCAGCACTGGACACTTCTAAGATCCAGCTGGACAGGGCACTAAGGCATCCTGTCTAGCCTGTTTTTGCTAGTTGGACAAGATGATCCTTGAGGTCCCTTCCAACCTGGAATTCTATGATTCTGACTCCCTTCTAGCAACTGGGCACATCTAGTGCTGTGATGGTGAGCATTTTATAGAGACTAGTAAGCAGAACCACATTTGTATTGAGCTGCAGTTGTGTAATACAGTTAGTATATTCTGCTAAGTATTGTTGATTTTATGGTTGTAACATTCTGCTTAGCACAAAGCTAAATATTAAAACATTAAACCCTCCTCATGTGCAACACACAAGAAAACGTGGTCAGGAAACAGTGGACTCTTGGAACTAATAGGTTTAATGGCCATGACAGCCTGTGCTTCTTGGGGGACTGGCTGGGCACTGGCTGTTGGTGACCAGTTGTTTTCATTTGTAGCACTTGGCTTTCCTAGGTTTGAGCTCCTCTAACTTCTTCTCTTTTCCTTATAATTTTTAAGTTATTATAATAGCATATTTTTATTAAATTTTTATCTCACAAGGGTTTTTTTCCTCATTTTTATTCTTCCAGTTCTCTCCCCATCCCACCACGTGGTGACTAGTTGACAGATGGAATTTACTGTGATGTTCATGATGATTATTCCTACAATCCAGGAAAATAACGTAACTTTAAAGTGGTTGCTCCCACTATAAAAAAAAAGAAAAAGAAAAAAGAAAAATCAAGCAAACACCAGCTGCATTGTGAGACTTTTTATATTCTTAGTTAACTGATCTCCAATTTTCAGCTAAACCAGGACAGGCACCCCTAGAATTTTTACAGGGAAAAGGAGCAAATTGGGTTACTCTCAGTACAGCAGAAGCTCAAGACTTAGTATTAAGGACTGGGGATCCTCCTAAAATACCTGCTGGTCGCTGGGGAAGGATAGGGGGCAGGCAAAGGAGACAGTGGTGGGAGAACACTTCAGAGTTGCAAATCACCATGCTGAAATCTGCCATCTCAGACATGCTGGACAGATCCAAGCGTGACGTCAGGACAGCCAGCCATCAAGCCTCCTGAGCATGACAGTGCAGAGAAGACTGGTCAGACACAGACCAACTGTGTGGGTTTTTACAGGGTTCAGGACAAAAGGCAGTGAATTAGATCACACCACCAAGAGGCCACTGTGATTGTCACTGTCATAGTACAATTTCTGTATTATGACTATGTTGTGATTTCAGTATATTGCTCTAAATCCCATGTAATGTCAAGTGTCTTCAGTTGACACCAAAACGTTGAACCCTCCTTGCCTGCAATATCTAAAAGAGCCTGGTCAGACTGCCGGACTGACAACTGTCTAACAAACATCTTGCGTATGTACAAATGTGGCCAGAATTTCAACTACAGATGCTTAAATTAACATTTACAGAGAAATATTTGAGGTTTTCTATAGGTCTAAGCAAACCAGTTCTTTTAATGTTAACACTATATGCATGTTCCAAGCATAGCTTTGGAATATATGTGTTGAAAACTTTCATGATAGTCACAGTGTCACACAAGAGTTGAACACTAAAAGTATCATTAACCATCAAAAGTCTTCATAAATATTTTAATCTTTACATTTTTATCTGAAAAATTCAAGAGGACATACAGAAAGTGACAGAAATGGTAGAATTAGCATAATATTACATCTTATGCTTAAAACAGTCAAGCTCATACCAAATCCTTAAGAACCTGCATTTCCAGCTGTAATGACATCTGAAACATTTGGGTTTCAAAAATTAACCCTTACAAGCCAATTACTACAGTAAATATCCTCTTTGCAATTTTTGGCTGTTATAAGACCAGATAATTGAACTGCATGCTTTTAAGAACTATTAGCTGGAAATTTAAAAAACCAAAAAGCTTGATTAGAAACCTAAAGACTTTGGGACTTGACTATAACCACTAAACAAGCTTTCTGATCATACTGTCAGTTACTGTCTGTATATTTTATTAATACATAACATGTTTTATGACAAATATGGTGGTGTTATTAAAAACATTTATCAGAAAAGATATCTATTTTTATGAAGTGGAGGAACTGCATCATCAAACACTGTATTTTACATTACTGCCTGTTGAAAGACAGATTTTGGCTAAATTGGCTCAAATACCTAAAACCACAGAAGTAACACCCATATTCTGTAAATGGTCCATCACAATACTTGGTTTCTGTCCTCCTCTCAAGGTTTCTCAACCCACGCATAAGAACAGAGGTCCAAAGCATTAGTCTTCCAAAGTGTCAATCAGGAATGCTAGAGGTACACAAAAGGCTACAGAAGCTGTAATAAACACAAAGGAGAAGATATGCAGACCACTGAGAATGGGTGTCTGTCCAGTTCACTAACTTCTCACCTTGAGAACCTCATACTTTTGACAGGATTCAACTGCTTCATTTATGTAGTGAAGTATAAACCAAAGCCAGCTATGACAAATAAGCACTCTTCCCCTTCTATGACAGTCAATACCTTAAGACAGGTCCCAGTAACAGAATCATAGAATCATTAAATTGTCAGGGTTGGAAGGGACCTTAAAGATCATCTAGTTCCAACCCCATTGCCATGGGCAGGGACACTTCTCACCAGACCAGGTTGCTCAAAGCCCTGTTCAACGTAGCCTTGAACATTTCCAGGGATGGGGCAGCCACAGCTTCTCTGGGCAACCCGTGCCAGTGCCTCACCATGATCATAGTAAAAAAGCTTCTTCCTAATGTCTAATCTGAATATCCCCTCTTTCAGTTTAAAATCATTCTCTTCTGTCCTGTCACTACATGCCCTTGTACAAGGTCCCTCTCCACGTTTCTCATAGGCCCCCTTTAGGTACTGGAAGGCTGCTATAAGGTCTCCCTGGAGTCTTCTCTTTTCCAAGCTGAACAACCCCAGCTCTCTCAGCCTGTCTTCATAGAAGACGTGCTTCAGCCCTCTGATAACCTTTGTGGCCTCCTCTGGACTCACTAAAGGAGGCCCACATGCATGTTGTGTCGGGAGTTCCAGAGCTGAACACAGTACTTCAGATAAGGTCTCATTAGAGTGGAGCAGAGGGGAAGAATTACCTTCCTCAACCTGCTGGTCAGGCTTCCTTTTGATGTGACCCAGGACATGGCTGGCTTTCTGGGCTGCAAGCACACACTGCCAGCTCATGTTGAGCTGCTCATTAACGAACACGCTTAAGACCCTCTCTGCACAGCTGCTCTGAATCCAGTCTCTGCCCAGCCTGGGACTGCTCTGACCTGGGTGCAGGAATTTGCACCTGGCATTGTTGAATTTCATGAGGTTGTCACTGGCCACCTCTCAAACCTGTCAAGATGCCTCTGGGTGGCATCCCTTCCCTCCAGTGTGCTGACCACATCCCACAGCTTGGAGTCACTGGCAAACTTGCTGAGGGTGCATTCAATCCCACCGTCCACATTGCCAACAAAAATAGTCACAGAACCATAAAACAGTTTGGGCTGGAAGGGACCTTCAAAGGTCATCTAGTTCAACCCCCCTGCAATGAGCAGGGACATCTTGAACTAGATCAACATGAACAGCACCAGTCTCAATACCAGCCCCTGAGGAGCACCACTTGTCATGGGCTTCCACGTGGACACTGAGCCATTGACCACAACTCTGAGTATGGCCATACACAAAGTTATGGCATTTGGATATTTAATAAAACAAAACAGGCTTTCAAGAAGGTGCAAGAGCAAATATTTGAAGATCATAGGACAAACTCACCAACACCTACATGCCTACTTGCCAGAATTCATTTTAGTATTTTGCAGTAGCTGAATCCCGTAATATCTCAAGTTGATGCAAACTCTTTTTAAAGGTATCTCAGCTTACTCTATTGAACTGTGTAGCACTTCACTTGGCTAGGCAGCTGAAAAAACTGTAGCAAGAGTTCACTGAATTAAGATTTTTGCTCCCTCCAGCACCTCTAAATATGGGGATGAAACAGCAAAGAATCCTTAAATTTTACATACTTTAGTAACAAGATCAAAATCATAATTATCTGATAAATCTACCTGCCTGATTCTTTCTTGGTCCAAGAGAATTTCTTTAACAATAGGTTTTTCCACTGCAACTGGAAAGCTGCAAGAAATCTTAGGGCCAAAGATCAGTAATATCCAGAGTTTGCAATTGTATCTAACCTTTGGAGTGGAAGAGGAAGATGGTGCAGTCATCAACAGTGCCACTTTATCATTTCTCACTTGGGAAAGCATTTTCCTTACTGCTGAAGAGATGTATTCAAAGAGTACATCCATAATCCTTGCAATCTTCTGTGAGGATTTTGAAATCAAGACAAAGAAGGCAGCTTAAGCAGTTCACACACATTAACACTAGGACAGCTTGATTTAACAGCTGCACTGTTAAACACATATATGCGCACCCTCCCTGACCACACCCCCAAATTTCACTGCCTGATCTGCTTTCAGTCACTGTAAAACAAGGATAATGTCCACAGGAAATAACACTAACATGAGAACTGCTCTGAACTGCTTTTTCTCTCATTATCAAAATAATCCAGAAGCAATGCCTTAAAGTAACTGCTGTAACAATTACAGATATTATTTATAACCCAAAGACGATGCAGGTTTTATACCTTAAGAAACTGGTTCCGCACTTGAAGACTATATACTACATAATGCTGTAACCCTCAAAACTGCATCAGTAAGATGTATACACTTCTGTCTAACAACAGCATGTGAAAGACCATTTCCCTAATAACAGCTTACACTGAAGTCCACAGATGGCACAAAGATGGTATGTTCAAACAGACACCAGTAGCAAAAATACAAAAAGTATGCTGAACAGTCCCTGTCACACAGGGGAAAAGCTGTGGACCCCAAAGTACCTCTATAACCACCATCTTCCTCGCAAAATATCATCTGACCCTTGCCAAGATAAAACGTATCTTTCAAGCAGCTAATACAACATAGTCTTTGAATGGCTGCAAAAACTATCCTTTTGAAGTGGAAAATCCCATTATGAACAATTCACAATAAACCTATTTCAAAATGCTGTTCAATTTTCCTTTTCCCTGTAGGAATAAGCAGTGAAATGTAAATATGAAAATACTTCTGACGTGTGAGGATATCTTAAGTTCTGTATTACTTTGCTTTTTGCACAATTAAAGGAAGTAGTAAAGCTACCACAAAATAAATCAGACAGGAAACTTACCTTTATGTGGCAAGAAACCAGCTCTGCAGAAGACTCTTCTTTCACAATTCAGAATTGTCAAGAGATTGCAGAGTCTCTTTATACTTATTTGTAAATGTATAACAGTTTAATGAGTGATGCCAGTGATGTCTTACGGCTATGTTTTAATGATTTAAAATATTCTTTGTGATAATTTTAACTTAACATACACATATACTGCTGATCTCCGCCTTCACCTAACGACTGCAGAACACAACAAAGCAGTAACTGTCTTATATAGATTCTCCTGAAACCTCCAGTACTAACTTAACAGCTTGGGACAAAAGCCTAATTAGCATTAGTCATTCTGCATCCTATGTCCAGTTCAAAGCACAACAGCATTTAAAAAAATCCCAAACATTTCAAAGGTAGCAGTACCTTCATGCAAATCTGTCACGAGAAAAAAACAACTGCATACAAAGTGCTTTGGGGTCAAGCAGTTTGATCACAAGTGGCAATGTGACTTCAAAGATGTCAACACTAATTAGAGAACAATAAAGATGAGTTATTACATTCTTAATATAGCATGGATGTCACTGACTAAATGGGTCTAAATCCGCAATCTTTACCTCCTTTTAACTATGGAAAGACAAGTCTTAACTAGACACTCCATTCCATAATTTAGGAAACACTCAAAATACTCTGCAAATAAGCTGCCCTGAATTTTAAAATAGAAAAAATTAACACTGAACAAAAATCAAAGTAAATGGATTAGTTTTAGTCATCTTTGTAATAAACAGTGAAGACTGAAACTTTGATGACTCTGAGGAAGGAGAAAATATGTTTCAGTCAGTCATGTAAGAGCACAGAAACACATATTTTGTAATAGAAAGTGAACACAAAACTCCAACTCCCAATAGAAAGTGAACACAACTCCAATAGAAAGCGAACACAAAACTCTAAGAACAACAGAATTCAGCATTTAACTGCCACGTGGTTCTGGCAAAATTAGAAACGATGTTTCTGAATACTACTACTTAACTAGACAAAGAAAAGGGGTAAGACAAGACACACTAGAACATTCTTCCTTAAGGCTGACTCCAAGGGAAGTATACATGTCTCTTCAGCTGCAGAGTATAAGCAGAGAGAATAGGGAGAAGGACAAGACAAAGCTACTGGCAATGTTTTCATGCTGTCTGATGTGACAACATTAGACAGCAGCATTCAATTCATGAACACTGGACAGGCTTTTCGAAAGCACCATTAGCTTACCTCTCTGATCATCCCATGTTTACAATAAGTACTGAGAGCTGGATATTTTAAAGTTATATTTCAGAATCTTCTCTGGGAACAGCAGTAATACCACATGAATTACTCTGTATCTGGACACTATTTCAGAATTACTTTCAGGGACAAAACTCTTTGGCGTGCTTCTACTCACCTAGTATTGCCCAACCTGAACTTGAAAGAGTTTGGGGAAGGAAGAGAGTTCTTTTAATCAAAGTACAGAGCAAACATTAATTTTGACTCTGCCAAAAATTTTCACTGCAATCCTAAGTCACTTCTAGGAGTGGGATCTCTTTCCTTAGTTCACAAAGACAATAGTGCAACAATTTTAAATGGGAAACAAATGCAAAAGCTTGTAAATACACAGCATTAAACAGGTGATCACTAGATTAAATGACAAATGAAAGTGTAAATATAAGGGTAATTGCAACTCATTTTACAACCAACTGTACTACAGTGTTAATTAAAAAAAAAAAAGAAGTAAATTAAAAACCCCTCCAAACAAACAAACAAAACTCCAACCAAAAACCCCAAACTGTGTTCCCTGATACTGGAGACAGCCATTCACTATAATTGGTCTCTCTAATGAGAGACAGGCACACTGCCATGCACAGGACCAGCTGGCTGATGCTGCTGTCTCTACAACAAGACGAAATCAAAGTCAGCTGTAGAAAAATTTGATAATGCATTATTTTACTTTTTTTAAATTTTTTAAAATTAGATTTTCTGAAAAATTATTCTCCTGGAAAGCATCGTAAGGCACATGAAAAACAACAAGGTGATTAGCGACAGCCACCATGGCTTCACTAAGAGAAAAACTGGCCTGACCAATTCGGCGTCCTTCTATGATGGGGATACAGAACTGATGAACAGGGGTAGAGCAGTTGATGTCATCTACCTGGACTTGTGCAAAACATTCAACACTGTCCTGCATGATACCCTTGTCTCTAAATTGGAGAGATCAATTTGATAGGTGGACCACTCAGTGAATAAAAAACTAGCTGGATGGCCGCACGCAAAGAGTTCTGGTCAATGGCTCAATGTCCAGTTGGAGACCAGTAACAAGCAGTGTCCCTCAGGGATCGGTGTTGGGACTGATCCTGTTCAACATCTTTGGTGGTGACATGGACAGTGGGATTGAGAACATCCTCAGCAAGTTTGCCGATGACACCAAGCTACGTGGGTCAGTTGATATGCTGGAGGGAAGGAATGCCATCCAGAGGGACCTTGACATGCTTGTGAGGTGGGCTGATGCCAGCCTCATGAAGTTTAACCATGCCAAGTGCAAGGTCCTACACCTGGGTCAGAGCAATCCCATGCACAGCTACAGGTTGGGCAGAGAAGAGATTCAGAGCAGCCCAGCAGAGAAGGGCTTGGGGGTTGACGGCTGATGAAAAACTGAACATGAGCCAGCTTCAGTGCGCGCTTGCAGCCCAGAAAGCCAACCGTATCCTGGACTGCATCAAAAGGAGCGTGACCAGCAGGTCGAAGGAGGTGATCCTGCCCCTCTACTCTGCTCTCGTGAGACCTCACTTGGAGCATTGTGTTACAGTTCCAGTGTCCTCAACATAAAAAGGACATGGAACTGTTGGAACAAGTCCAGAGGAGGGCCACGAGGATGATCAGGGTTCTGGAGCACCTCCCGTATGAAGACAGGCTGAGAAAGTTGGGGCTGTTCAGCCTGGAGAAGGCTGTGTGGAGACCTCATAGCAGCCTTCCAGTATCTGAAGGGGGACTACAAGAATACTGGGGAGGAACTCTTCTTTAGGGACTGTAGCCATAGGACAAGGGGTAATGGTTTCAAACTTAAACAAGGGAAGTTCAGGTTAGAAATAAGGAAGAAGCTCTTTACTGTGAGAGTGGTGAGGCACTGGAATGGGTTGCCCATGGAAGTTGTGAGTCCTCCATCCCTGGCAGTGTTCAGGGCCAGGTTGGACAGAGCCTTGGGTGATACGGTTTAGTGTGAGGTGTCCCTGCCCATGGCAGGGGGGTTGGAACTAGATGATCTTAAGGTCCTTTCCAACCCTAACTATTCTATGATTCTATGATTTTGCCCCATATGTGACACAACCACTAACTTATCTATACCTCAAGTTTTTTTGTAGCCTGTACAAGATCTACTGTAGATATATGTGTATATACAGGCAGTCTGTACATACATATACATATGCAGTCTGCTAGAATCTCACAATATTTTTACATGATTAACAGATCAAACATATAGTTCGTAAGGGATTTCCAGTCTTTCACCATATCTTTTAATCAGAAGGAAGAATGAACAATAGGAAGACTATACTAATGCTATATTATCTACTACCAGATGATTGCAATTTTATAGGGAAGACTTCCAAGAAATTTATTTTACATTTTAAGTATCTAGCTGTTCTGAAACACTATTTGTTCATGCAGTTTCTTGGAAGTGGCAAACATCTTTAAAAAAGGAAGGCAATAAATGTCAAAATATAATAATGCTGTAAAGCACAGCAAATACTGTTTAAAAGCGATTAGTGCCCAAGACTTGTTTTATAGTGTCCTAGCAAATCACAGATGCTCATGAGACCTTCAAGATATCCTCACAAGAACACCTTATCCAGCCCTAATCCTGGGGAAAGAGACTTCACTGCACCAGGTTGCCCAAAGTCCCATTCAACCTGACCTTGAACACCTGCAATGATGTGACATCTACAACTTCTCCCCGCAACCTGTTCCAGCATCCTACCTTCACTGCGTCTTTACCCTTACCTTCCAGGGTCTCTACCCTCACTGTAAAAGATTTCTTCCTCATATTCAATCTAAATCTACTGTCCTTCCGTTTAAAACCATCATGACCTGTAATATCACTACAGGACCTGGCTTTCTCCAACAAATGGACTCCTTATGAGGTATTTATCTTTTCCAGGCTGAACAACCCCAGCTCTCTCAGCCTGTGCTCATAGGAGAGGTGCTCCAGCATTCAGAGCACCTTTTTGGACTCCTTTGGACTCAAGCAGGTCCACGTTCCCTTTTTGCTGAGGGCCCCAGAGCTCAATGTAGTACTGCAGGTGGGGTCTCACCAGAGCAGAGGGAATCACCTCCTTCAACCTGCTGGTCACGCTTCTTTTGATACAGCCCAGCGTTAAGTGTGGCTTTCAGGGCTCTGAGAGCATACTGCCGGCTTCAGTCCAGCTTTTCATCCATCAGCACCCCCAAGTCCTTCTCGGCAGAACTACCGTCAATCCATTCATGTCCCCATCTGTACTGATATTGGGAATGCCCCAGTCTCAATACAGATATTGCCCAGGTAAGGGCCTTGAACCTGGTCTTGTTGAACTTCGAGGCACATGCCTCGAGCCTGTCAAGGCCCCTGTGGATGGCATCCCTTCCCTCCAGTGTGCTGATTGCACCACACAGGTTGGTGTCATCAGCAAATTTGCTGAGGGTGCACTTAATCCCACTATTTCATTTATGAAGATACTAAATAGTATTGGTCCCAGTACTGACCCTTGAGGGACAGCACTCATTACTGGTTTCCAGCTGGATATAGAACTGTTTACTGTTAACTCTTCAGGTGCAGTCATCCAGAACAGGGAGAGTTGCCACCTAAACCGTTCTGTCACTTCACCTGGTTGTAGCTTTCTCTCCTAGAGATACTTTTTAAAAAATAAGAAAGATCAAACAACCACTCACTATGATCTTAATTTATGTCTCACTGCAAGACCTCTTTTACAGCCACCAAAATAAAAATTCTATAAACTCTGATGAACTCAATTACTATATTTGCTGTTCTTTTCAAAGGAAGAATTTGACTGCCATTAGTGAAAGTACCACTGTCATAAACATTCTGTCCTGCTTGCTCAGTAGCTGCCTTTAAAGGTCCAATGCCCAACCTTCACTACAGAATGGGCTACAGTCTCCTAATGATGCTGCCTGCTGCACTCCTTCCTAATGCACAGCCATAATAAAGAAACAGAAAATAATTCCATATCTGTCCCAATTATTTTACCATGCCAAAAAGTAGTAAAAGCTGTCCAGCCTCGGCTCACCAACTATCATCAGGAGGAGCAGCAGCAAGAACAGCAGGGTAGTCAGCAGTTGCCTAGGCCACAACTATGCCAAGAGTTGAGGGATGCCAGATGTGTACGATTTATGGGTTGTATTTAAGTAACAGTGATACTACATTACCAAATAAATAAAGACTTCTCAGTTAAGATTAAAGAAAGAAAAAGATAAATTGTAACTTATCTAGGGATACTACCCCCTCCCCCCCCCCCCCCCCCCCCATAGCATCTAAGGAAATCTGTGTATCAATTTTAATGACAATTTGGCATGGCACCAGTTATAGCAAAAAAATATCATGAACAAATAATAGAAAATGCAACCAAAAAAATTATATACTTATTTGGAAAGAACAAATAGAAAGTGCAATTTTCTTCAAGACATTTAAGTAAAGTTTCCTAGTCTAGCTTTTTTGGGTTTTGGCTTGGGATTTTTTTTTTTTTTAAGGAAAAAAAAAAAGATCTAACCACATAATTACCCTTTATGTAAGTTTCATGTTATGACACTTCAAATCTGTGCTGTAGTTTGTTTTTCATCACATGTCACACAGAAGTTATTAAAATTATCCTAACAGTTACCTTAAAAACCTAGTGTCTGCATTCTTTGAACTTTAGCACAGGGCCCAGTTAATGCTTAGCAATCAACAAGACTTCAGTTAAGTACCCGGCCCAAGCCTGCTCCCCTTGATTTTCTCTTACAAATACAATTCTACTCCCACACGTATTCTGCTAGTGTCAAGAGGAAGGATGACGCATCAGTTGACAGTGAAAACTCACTGAACCAAATGATTTAGACTTTGTACTGGTTCTTTCCATTGGAACTATTTATTAAAAATATTTGCCAAAGTTGCCTTTGAAATGAATAAATTCTTCAAATGAGCAGCAAATTAAACATTAATGTAAGCTAATCACAGGTAAACAGTTTTGAAACTTTCCAGAGGGTTTCAGTAAAAAATCCAGAATCAGTTGCTTCAGTTGTCAATGAATTGGAGGAGTATTTGAAAGCACTACAGTGGACTATTGCTTGTGTATTTTAAAAGTTAACTGATCTCTCTGATTTATACATGACATTTGCTTCATTTCTTGAAATAGTTCGAAAGTACCAATTCACAATGGCTGGTGATAGCAAATATGATGCATCATGTGTCTACAAAAGTCTTTAGCCTCACAGGTCACTGACTTTCTGCTGAAGCAGAAAATAGGAAGGACACTTCCCCCTCACGGAAATAATTTTAGAGCAGAAAAAAATTACTAAATATACAAAATGATTTACATTACCCAAGTTCAATAAAAATGAAATAATTAAACAGATGATTGAACAGCGCCCATCAGCCTTTTCATTCTCAGACTGCTGGTCTGTAGAATTCTTACCTTGCAAATGCTAACTTCTACTCCCTGACACACTGAGGCAGAATGCACAGCCAAGGCAGAGTCTTACCTTAATTTGTACAGAACCAAGCATCAACCTACAGAACAATTCTTCACTGGTCATGTGATGCTTTTTTTGCCTCAATGCTGATAATCCTTACGACAGAGCACACAAGACCAACTGAGATTCATCAGTGCTTCAAGCTGCTGAACTCTGAGTAAGCCTACCTAGTCATGAACACTGACACATATTTTACATTTGTTTGAATAAAAACTTGCTTTCAAATACCTTGACTAACCTATTTCAGTTTAGAGAGCACATACAGCAGCAACCCTATTTGAATTTTTGTGGTGTTTTCAAGAGATTCTCTTTTACAATTATTAGCTGGTCAGCTTCTGTTAAAACCATTAAGTTTTACTCTAACTTGTAAATATATGATGAATAAATTTCTGTTTATGTTCCAGCTCTTCTCTGATGAACAAGGGAAATTCTCCCCTTGATATGCCAACGTAATTCTACAACACTGATGTTTTCACTTTTTAGAACTTTATGTAACTTACAAGTCTAATAAAACTTCAATATTCTATATTAAATACTTCTGTACTTTTGCATTGCTAAATTAAATTTACATAAATCCTTTTAATTTGCCAGCTTCTATAACAAAAGTATATGTTCTTCTAAGACAGGAATGGTAACACCTTACACATATTAAAAAAAAATAAAGTCTATAAAGTAAGAACAGTTTTTACCCTCTAAAACCAAACAAAACCACCCAGAAAAATACCTCACCTGCATCAGCTCTGGACCGTTGACCTGGTGATTTTCCAAATGGGGTCTTCATTCATCTGTGTTTAAGTGAGCAGCAAAGCTGCTGGACTAGGGTGAAAATCCAGTTCTTCCCAACTCTCAGGGTATCTTCTTACTCTTGGAAGAAGACAGCTACTTATTAATCCACCAATCATGAATTTGTCCTTCCTCAAATGTAGAAGATGTATTTTCAGTTACAGTACTCTGGAAAAAAAAAAAGACCCAGATAAAGCATAAGTAATTTGATTTGAGACTTTGTTAAGATCAAAAAATATTTTAACTCTTAATGCTTGTTTTCATACTCAAAACCAAGTTCCCTCATATTCCATAAACCTGAGAACATTCAGCAAACAGAGCAAATATAGTCAAGAATACAGCAAAACAAATACTAGGGGTGGTACTTTTCCTTCATACTCATAAGGCAAGTTCTCTATCACAAAGTCTACCACTTACAGAAAGGAAAGCCTCCTTAAAAACCACTGAGCTTAGTGCAGGGAAGAATGGCTACTAGCTTAGAAGAAACTGTACTACCTTCATCTTAGGTAACATACAAATCAACTACTTTCATTTATTTGGAATTAAACACTCACACCCACTAGCAGAACAGCTTTGCTTCATAGAAGTTAAAAAAAAAAAAAATCTGTTGAAAATATCCAACACAAAAGGTAACAAAACCACCAATTCTATTTCAGTTCTGGAACCTGCTGTCCATTTTCATACAGGGCTTAAAAGCAGAGGAACACCCCTAACTAGTGACCCAACTGGGTGACACAGAAGTGTACCTTATGCTTGTGCTTTACTGCATAAGGGAAGGTACAGGACATGCCTCAAGGTATGGTGAAACTCTTCTGCAGAAAAATGCATTTACATCTCACATTTGTCAATTCTCTCATGAATCACACCCATTAACTTCCAGGAGTGTCAGAGCAGGACAGAGGAATTGCTAGGAAATGACAGAGGAATATCCTAGGAAAAAATAGCAATAAGGAGACAAACTTTTAGCAATTTGCAGTTCTGAGGAAGATTGCTACTATGTCTGGAAGACCTAGCAGATATTCACAGTCAGGAATTTGTTACAATTTGTGAAATTTAAGTTAAAAATTAAATTACAGGAAATTATTAGTTTTTTTCATGTCATCTTTTCCAGAAATCTACCAAAGTATACATAACAATGCTACATGACACCAGGACAACAGTCAACTCTTAAAAAGCACTTGAAGATGTAATAGGAAACAATTAGCTTGCTAACTACTTTACTAGAACAAAACATAAAGCCAGTCTACTAAACTCAAAACTATTTTACTATGGATAAAATGCATTCATATGGAAAAGAAACTCTTGAGTTCAGAGCACTGCTGTGATTATACTACCATATCAAGTCTCACAGGCACTGCAGAAGTGTACAGGAGAGATCCCATTTTTCCACCAAGAGAGCTATTAGTTAAGAATCAACTGTAATGTAGTATTATACTATTCTACTTTAAAGACCCATGAGCAAAACAAAAAGAGGGCACAAAACAAAGAAAGGTAAAACAAAAAAAACCACACCCCCAAAACCATAAACCAAAAAACCTCCACAAAACCACGAACTATGAAAAGCTCTCAAAGTTAGAAACTAGCATGCCTTTTTGCAGTACACCACTGACCTGTTATTCAAGAAGCTGTAAGTATTTTATAACATCTGAATTTATTATATACTATTCCCACCCCAATTTGCAATTCATGGAAAAAACATGAAGTACTATGTAGTTGCACTGATTATTAAGCAGGTGTGTTTATAAAGATTATCAGATAACTTTTATTTAATGGTGTGTCCCCAATCATTACTACACTACAAATATGAAGTCATACCTCTAAAAAGGGAAACTAAATCCTAATCCTTTTGAAGTCATAACTCATTTGCTAGCACTTAATGAAGTATTTCACTGTGTTCTTGGGACCAAAGAACACAAAGCTAATGAAGTAAAAATCTGATTCAGCAGTTCAAACTGATTTTCTAGAAACTAAGCCAGTAACAGTTATTAGTTCAAAACCTCACTGAAGATTTTCACTGAAAGCAAATGAAACTTGAGTTTTCCTAAACCTACTATTTTCAATTGAATTTACATTTCAGTTGCACACTGACGGTTCTGAAGATATTAGTAAGAAGGGATAAAACCTGTTTTGTGAAAATAAACTTATATACTTCGAGAACATCTTGACTTTTAAAGCACAATGACTTTTTCACATGATGAAAAATAAATAAAATCCTGTAAAACTTTGGATTCTTAAACATGATGAATGAGAAACACCATGTTTAATGCCAGCATGCAAATACAATAAGCCTTTAATATGGAAAAATTATAAAAAACAAACAAACAAACCAAAAACACCCTCACAGAATGCAAAACCTTTCCTTACAAAATTTTATTACAAGTCTTGAAGAATGTCATTTTCCACATCAAAGCAGAAAACACATCACGCTTCTGACATACTCAGTAGCAATAAACTATACTGTTACAGAAGAACAGAAACTCCTTGTTTGGATGTACAGATTACTTATGAAACAACAAATTTTTAGAGTAATTCTGCCAAAAGCAGCATACACAACAAAAAACACCCAAGAAGCTTTTTCGAATCCAAAGCAACAGATCCAAAACATGTTATAGTAGTCTTTACAGGCTGCCAGTAACTTTCAGAAGAGAAGAGCCACAGCCTACCAGTTAGGCATGGATTTCCCCAACACCTGACAGCACAGGTCTCCAGCAGTGAAGCTGCAGGTTCCATACAGATAGGCATTCTTTTGACTTGTCACAGCTGCAACTACTCACCAGCCCAGGTGTTCTGCTTGTTTTTCTAAAGCTTCCTAGATCACAGCACATTTAAAAAAAAAAAAAAAAGTGGAAATTTATGACTATTTTATCTGAGAGTGTTCTAATTATTGTGGAGTGTTTCACAGAAGGTTAAGAGACTAAAAATGCAAACCCTATAAACTGTCAACCATACCAGTTTTAATAAGAATGGTATAATCGTACTATCAAAGTAGGGAGGAAGACAACATTAAGACAGAAAAAAACCAAAGCTGTGTTATAAAATTGGTTTTGCAGTGAAAAGGCAAAAGGAGGAAAAAGCAGCATGCACAGTGACACAGCATTCACTGTGAACCAGCTTAACCGTCTCCATAAACATACTTAAAAACACAAAAATGTTTTAATATGTGCTTTTAATGCCATTGAAAGTAAGCATCATCACCTAAAATAATTCTCTAGTTTAACCTTCAGTTAACACTGATGCCTGCTCTTGCACCAAACTACATATTTCCCTGCAACATCACAGCACAATGTTGTTTACTGCATTCTAGTGAAAACTGCATGACCCTACTTTCCATGGAAGACGTATGTTAGTGGCACAACTAGTATCAAGGTATCATAGCTGTGCTAATTAATACTAGTAGTACCAAACCCCAAAAGTGAAGTGCTTTACTTCTAAATAACATACCTACATTTTACCACCGTGAACACACAAGGAAATACTATCAGAACATTTGCTGAGACACTGCTTTTAGGGTAACAGGTGGGAAGAAGGGAGAGCAGTAACATACTGCTTGTACCTCTTAAGATACTGAGATGCAAATTCAGGTTGCACAACCCGAGATGCTAACTACAGTCCAGTACATCTCAGGAGCATATTCCTGCTTCCAGAGCTGTCAGTGACCAGGCCTCCTGGCACCACCTGGCAGGTTCCAACTTTTTCACTTTGGTATGTAAAATACTTTTCTTGCATGCATTTCCCCTGATGAAACTTTGCACTGGCAGTTATTAGTGGAGGGCGAGCACGTCACAACAATGTTCTATGGAAGAAGTCATTCTGAAATGAAATACAAGGAAATCTCTTCGACTGATAAGTACCACTTCATTTCCATAACTCCGCCCACAACTGCTAGTATGGTTGTCAACTGAAGTAGAACAGTGGTTTCAGCACTAACAAGTCAAGATGAAGCACAGATGTTTTTTAGACTTCCTAATTCTTACCATATGGACAGAAAGGATCATGCTATGTAAGTATTCTGCAACCCCTCATGAGAGAAAAATCTTAAAAGTATCTCCTAAATAACAAAGGAGAATAAAAACACATGCCCAGTTTTAGTTTTTGTTACTTCCCTTCCCCGCACCACAATACAAGCCCCAAATGCTTTCCTATGGTTTAAGAATTCAGCCAAATGGCAAATTTGTTTTGAAGTATTCTACAGGCTCAATCACCATTTTGGTCACTAAGAACTCAGGATTTTGTCTGATGTCTAAGAAGAAAGACTGCTGTACATAAAATCCGACCATATGGGATTTACAGCTGACAACCACAAAGAGCAATGCACTTCAAATATGGATTTATGAGCTGAAAGTCCCCAAATCAATACTCTCCCTCCCCTATGATAACTCCAAAGTTTCTTCTCTACCCATAGATGCGTTACTTGTCTACAATTGTACAGAAACAAGGAGCACCGGCATGCAATTCTGCGCGCATATATGCACACACAAAACCATGTGTATTTGGTTGGACGGGGCTCTAAGCAACCTGATTTAGTGAAAGACACCCCTGGCCATGGCGGGGTGGGGAGGCTAGACCGGATGATCTTTAAAGATTCCTTCCTACACAAACCACACTCTGATTCTATGACAGATACAAAAATATAAATAAAAATTTAAGCTACCTTCACACTACAATGTATAGTGATGCAACAGCAGATTATTCAGCAGAAGACTGAAAGAATCTGAAATTTGTGCAAACTATCTCTTGTTAACAGGGTGTCTATTCAAGTGAGTTTTGTTGAGAATGGGACTACAAATACTGTAGTTTCTGCCAAGGAAGAAGCAACTCGTGGGTACACTCGAATTCTAGGGATAAGACTACGATACTTCATGTTTTTAACCTTTCAGCAAACTCCTGTATTTTAACTGTTTTAATAATATGGAATAGATGAGACAGAACACTGCAGTTTCTATTTATAACTTATTAAAATCTTTTAGCATAAAAAAAAATGGACATACGCTTTACCATAATAACAGTGATTTGCTGAGAAGTTCTGAAGAACTTCACATTACAGCATTAAACCAGGTAAGTTAATATAATGTAGGAATTC